ACACAATGGAAAGATCAGACACTCACGAAATCTCAAGGACATGTGGGGGAAAAATTTTCTCAAAGCGCCTTTATATGATATCCTATCTTAATAAGATAAATTTAAAAAATTAAAAACAAAAACCTTTTACAATAACCCAAAGGTCAAAGCTGCTGCCTCTCGTTACCTCCAGAGGTAAGCTGAACAATGAGGCTCTGAGGAGCCAGGAAAATGCAGGCAGAACTCCACACCTCCATACAGAAGTCACGGATTCTCCTAACCCAGGGTTTAGTCTTGTTCCTTAAAGAGTCTGGCCGACCTGCTGCACTAGACATCTGTTCTCAAGTTGCCCAGCAACAGATTCCACATGGATACAGATACAACACTCCTTTTCTAGCACACGGGAGGGCTGGGAACCAGCTTTCTTTCCTCTAGCTAGGCTGGATCCAAAAGGACAGCCTGGTTAATGAATGACTTGGACCACACAGAGAACAGGCCCCACAGCTGCAACAACATACGACAACAATTCAGCCACTGTGCCACTGTGTGCTGAGCAGACCCGGGCCACACTGGAGCTCTGTGCTCGTCTGGGCCAGTGGTTCTGAGAGTACTGAATGTGTATTTACTATGCAACCAAGCATCTGCACATACCCCTGGGAGGTGGCCTGGAATAAATTCCCAAGAGTGGGATAGGTGAAGGCAAACACGGCTTTAAGTCTTCAGAAACTGCCCATGGAAGACCGTACTATATTCCCTCCAGAAGTACATGAGGTTGGTTTCTCTCTATAGTTAGAAACATTAATTATTCTAATCCCTCATCCTTGTCAATGTGGTAGGAAAAAATGCATCTCATTACGTTCTATAAATTATTAGCATTAATATTAGTGTCTCAACACATTTTTGATAAGCTAAGATTTATTTAGCCTCATCAGATTCCTGTGAGGGAAAGAAGCAGCCAAAAAATATGTACTTGTCCATATTTACTAAACTAACTGACAATCCTTTTAAAACTCGGCCATATGCTGTGAACAGTACTGTGCTTTTAAATGTTTAAGTTATGCAGGGTGTTTTTATTTTTTAAATTATTTACTTGAAAGACAGAGCTACAGAGAAGGAGAGGCAGAGGCAGAGAGAGAGAGAAAGAGAGAGAGAGAGAGAGAGAGAATCTTCCATCTGCTGTTTCACTCCCCAAATAGCTGCAACATCTGGGGCTGGGCCAGGCTGAAGCCAGGGGCCAGCTTCATCAGGATCTCCCAAGTGGCTGCAGGGGCCCAAGCACTTGGGGCATCCTCTGCTGCTTTCCCAGGTGCATTAGCAGGGAGCTGGATTGGAAGTGGAGCAGCCAGGAGTTGAACCGGCACCCATATGGGATGCTGGCTCTGTAGACAATGGCTTTACGTGCTATGCCACAGCACCAGCCCCTATGCAGGGTCTTCAGCTCACATGAAATTGGAGGCTGGGGACTCCAGTGTGGTATTCTTGGGCATAGCAGAAGACAACAGACACAGCTGCTGTCGACACAGAGCTGTGAGGACTCTTTCTAGCATTTTCAAAGTTCTGTTCTGTTCTCACTTTCTTCACCCCTGGAATTTCAAAAAGTATGTTTGTTATAAGTATCTAATAATATATAAAAATGCTCATGAAACAGATAAAAGTTCTGTAAAAATAATGTTCTGTGGCTTTTGTTAAAAATGAATATATGTGTGTATGGGTATGAATACAAGTAAACAGAAGCAAATTCAAGAGAATGTTGGGGCCGGTGCTGTGGCATAGCAGGTAAAGCCTCTGCCTGTAGTGCTGGCATCCCACATGGGCGCCCGTTTGAATCCCAGCTGCTCCACTTCCAATCCAGCTCTCTGCTATGGCCCAGGAAAGCAGTAGAAGATGGCCCAAGTCTTTGAGCCCCTGCACCCACATGGGAGACCCGGAAGAAGCTCCTGGCTCCTGGCTTCAGATCGGCCCAGATCTGGCCATTGCAGCCATTTGGGGAGTGAACCAGTGGATGGAAGACCTCTCTCTTGCTCTGCCTCTGTCTCTCTGTAACTCTGGCTTTCAAATAAATAAATGAATTTAAAAAAAAAGGAGAGAACGTTAATGGTGAGTTTTGTTCAGTGACTTCTTTGTATTTTTCTGTATTTTCCAAATATTCTACAGTAAATTCTACATTATTTAATAATTGGTGGGGCCGGCGCTGTGGCATATTGGGTAAAGCTGCCGCCTGCAGTGCTGGCATCCTGTATGGTTGCTGGTTCGAGTCCCGGCTGCTCCACTTCTGATCCAGCTCTCTGCTGTGGCCTGGGAAAGCAGTAGAAGATGGCCCAAATCCTTGGGCCCCTACACCTATGTGGGAGACACGGAAGAAACTCCTGGCTCCTGCCTTCGGATTGGCACAGCTCCAGCTGTTGTGGCAACTGGGGAGTGAACCAGCAGATGGAAGACCTCTCTCTCTTTCTCTTTCTCTCTGCCTCTCCTTCTCTCTGTGTAACTCTGACTTTCAAATCAATTAATAAATCTTTTAAAAATAATTGGGAAAAATTCTAATATATTATCAAGAATGACTGGACGACTGATCTGTTTACAATCACAGCCAAAGCCAAAGGCTTACCATGAAAAAGGACAAAAACCAAATACTGCGGAGGTCGGGTGCCGACTCCCATCAAGCACTGTTAGCAACCCGGAGTGTGATCTTCACAAGGATTCTGCAGCTGAGTCCACACTCCCCAGGGACAGCACTGTGATCAATAAGCAATACTTAGCACGGGTGAGGCCTGCGGACTGAAGTCTGATGTCATTCCTGATGCAGACTCCACGTGACATCTGAGAGACCATCTGGCTGGAACCCCTCATCAACAGATGAGGATGCGGGGGACTGGGCGTATGAAGCAACCCACTCCAGGTTCTGACGGCAGAGCCAAGACCAGAACCTAGCTAAGGGGAGCTGCGTGTTGGTCTGTATTCTAACTTCAGCTAACTCGTTCGTGCTCGTGAGGGTCTCTCTACCCCATCCAGCCAGCCTCCAGGAACACAGAGAACAGAGAGGAACACTCTGTCCAAGTCGCTATCTCAGGTTGCTGAATTCACCTCGTCTCCTCCAGCTGCTTCCTGGGTGGTGGAGAAAACCAATTAAAACAAAGACAAGGCTCAGGCATTGTGAGTGATTTCCCCAGTAGGTGGCAGGATGAACCAGGAATGGACCAGGAGCAGGCATCTGTAGGGTACTTAACCCAACCATCGAAAAGAAGGCTCAGCCCAGAATCCAGTGTTTTACAGATGTATTTGTATAGAGGGAATTAACATCTACAAAGTGCATAATCAAAAGACTAGAAAGAAACTCATCAGAATATTAAAAGTACTTTTCGGGGTTGTGTGTTTGGCCAATTGGGGCACCCAATTCCCATATCCAAGTGCCTACGTTGGCTCCTGGTTTCAGCTCCCAATTCCAGCTTCCTCTTAATGCAGACCCTGGGAGGCAGTGACAATGGCTTAAATAGTCAGTCCCCATCACCCATATGGGAGACCTGGATTGGGTTCCTGGCTCACAGCTTCCAGGCATTGGAGAATGAACCAGCAGATGGGGCTCTCTGTGCCTGTCTACCTCTCAATTAACAAGAATTTTTAAAAAGCAGTTTTGAATAAGGGGTAATATTTGAAATTATTTTAAAATTATTTTGCATCTTCCATATCTTGGACAATGAACACAAATTTTTTATAATAAAAGTTATTAAAACCATGATGAATTACTTCAGTAAATATATGGAGAGTTTAAGGACTGAAAAAGCACTTCCAAAAGCTTATAGAAATGTGATCCTATATTTCCGTCTCACATGTCACATAATCATAGAGAAGAAACTTAAAATGATGGATCCATGTAATCCGTTAGCAGCTTGAACGTATGTTACAATCTTACTAGCCTTATTTGAAAGCAGAAACCTGATAGAATTCGTTGCACTGGGAGGCCTAACTGAATTGGGAGCACAGGCAGCACATCCGAATGACATTTTCTTACATTCACGTGCTTTGGGTGAAGAGCGTGTGCAAGCACACCCAGGGGTTCTGCTGCGTCAGCTCAGAATAACCAGCATCTAGCACTCAGGGCACAAGTTTGCATCGGCTAAGTGTTAACACTTCCTAACGCTAAGGTACTTAGTGTGAGTGTGGCGTTGCCTCTAGAATGCGTGCATAGGCATGAATGTGGGTTCCACATCTGTGGATTTGACCAGCCATGGGCCGACAATATTCTGTACCAAACACACACATTTTTTTCTTCTCATTATTCCCTAAACAACATGGGGTAATACCTGCATACAGCATTTACACTGAATTAGACAGCATAATAATCTAGAGGGGACTTGAAGTACATGGGAGGATATGTGCAGGCTCTGTGTAAAAATGACACCGTTGTGGGGCTGCTGCTGGGGCACAGGTTAAGCATCCACCTGCAGTGCTGGCATCCCATTTGGGTGCCAGTTCAAGTCCTGGCTGCTCCACTTCTGATCCAGTTCCCTGCTGGTGGCCTAGGAAGGCAGCAAGCAGAAGATGGCTCAAGTGCTTGGGCCCCTGTACTGGCATGGGAGCCTGGATGAAGACCCTGGCTCCTGGCTTCAGACAGGCCACGTTCTGGCTGTTGTGGCCAACTGGGGAGTAGACCAGGGATGGAAGACCTCTCTCCCTCTCTCTCCCTCTCTCTCTCTCTCTCTGTAACTCTGTCTCTTAAGTAAATAAATAAATTAAAAAAAAAAAACTACACCATTGTACATAAGGGACTTGAGCATTCATGGATGGTGGTATCTGTGCAGGGTCCCAGAACCAATTCCCCATGGATACTGAGATAACCGTATTTAGTAGGTCCTTTTTCCTATAAATACGCACGGTTTTTACAGTGTTGTTTTTTGTTTGTTTGCTTTCCACTTTTTGGCTGAATTCTTTTATTCTTTTCACAAGAAAGAAGAGATTACAAGGAAGGCTTAGACCTATACTTGGTTTGGAACCACACTCGGGAGCCTTCACACCTGACTCCTCACCTGGCATCACAGGGACGACCTGGCTCCCCGTCCCTGCAGAGGCTGAGTGATTCCTCTTCTCTGGGTTTGCCAAGGGAGCTGGCTGGTCTGCGGCTGTGGCCTCCTGAGACTTCTCCAACAAGGAGACACCCCCTGTGTCTTCACTCAGTGCTGTCGTCCTCGGCTGGGCAGGACTTGTTGCCGCGTGGGTCACCATCTTCCGGTCTAGGCCCACTGAGTTTTGAGAAGAGCTTAGTTACTGGCTGGATTTCTCTTCTGAACTTTAACTAAAGCCACCACATTTGCAGTTGACTTGAAATTGTGGATATTTCGGATTAATGACCCACGCCATTTAAGACATGCACAGCCCCAGACAGACAATTTTATGTTATCTTCAAAAGGGTAGTCTGTCTACTCTTCTTTCAGCCATTAGCTTTCCAAATGCTAAACATAAAAAGAAATGGACAAAGGCAAAACTATAACCTAAGATTCTCACTCTGTCCTTCCCCCAGCCAATGGCTTCCCTTCTTCCTTGGGGTGCCCATCTACATGTATGACTTCTACAACTGATTCAAACTCTGACTTCAGCCAACCCTTGTATCAAAAGCTTCCTAAAATATTTATCAGAATATTAATTCAATGCCACTTATTTTAAAAAGAGGTATATGTGATAGAGGATTTTTTTTTAGGATGTGAGGAATCTGGAAAGTTAAAGAAAAGTTTTAAAAACACAAGTAATACCAAAAATTGGACTTTTGCAACTCAGACTGTAGACGCAGTGATTTCTCACTTAAGGCATAGCTTTTGGGGATGGCATTGTGACACAGTAGGTTAAGCTGCCACCTGCAACACCAGGTTCACCAGGTTTGAGTCCCGGTGGCACCGGCTCCCTGCTACTGTGCCTGGGAAAGCAGTGGTAGTTGGCCTATGTGCTTGTACCCCTGCACCCACATGAGAGACCTGGAGGGAGTTCCTGGCCAGACAGGGCCATTGCAGCCACCTGGGCAGACAGGACCAGCAGAAGGGAGATTCTTTCTCCCTCTCTCTCTCTCTCTCTTTCTCTCTCTCTCTCTCTCTCCCCCTCTGTCACACTGTCTTTCAAATAAGTAAAATAAATCTTTAAAAAAAAAGACATAGCTTTGGGGCTGGCACTGTGGCGCATTGGGTAAAGCCACCACCTGCTGTGCTGGCATCCCATATGGGTGTCAGTTCAAGTCCTGGCTGCTCTACTTCCGATCCAGCTCTCTGCTATAGCCTGGGAAAGCAGTAGAAGATGGCCCAAGCCTTTGAGCCTCTGCACCCACGTGGGAGACCCGGAAGAAGCTCCTGGCTCCTGGCTTCGGATCGGTGCAGCTCCAAACACTGCGGCCATCTGGGGAGTGAACCAGTGGGTGGAAGACCTCTCTCTCTTTCTGTCTCTGCCTCTCTGTAACTCTGCCTATCAAACAAACAAGTAAATAAATCCTTAAAAATAAGACATAGCTTTTTCATATAAAATTATATATAAAACCAGAAAGAGGAAGAAGGCCGAATTCCTATTTCACTCTGAGAATACAGGCATCCGTCTGCATCCCTTCCAGCTTCTCCCACTCCTCGAGTGCCAAGGTGATGCGGCCAACTCACAGTTCTGACAGAAGGCTTCATCAGAGCCGTCGGGACACTGCTGCACGCCGTCACAAGCCAGAGTGATGTCGATGCAGCAGCCATCGTCACAGAAGAAGTGGTAGCGCGAGCAAGCACCCAGGCACCCTGGTTGCAAAAATAGGCTCAGGTCACAGGAGCCCAGGCAAAGTTCAGATGTGCAGTGCATCCTGATGAATGATGTGTACAGGAAGATGCTCTTGGGTAAAGAGATGCAGATCATGGAGAAAACCCAACAGCTGGAGCTGGAGCAACATGTTCTGGGCAGGTTAGAGAGGCTGACCTCTCTGATTTAACGCTCAGAAACTCACCTGTGTTAGAGCCATTCTCCGAGCTTACCTGGCCTGACGGGTGCAAACAGAGGCAGTGGTGGTCTCCCCCTGTTTTCTCACTCTGCGTTCATCCGCTCACCCCTGCAGGATCCTCTCCCTTTAGCCATTTACTGCTTCCTGATAGGCCACCGAACACTGCCCCACCCCATGGGGAACCGTGAACAAACCACGAATGGCAACCTAGCTTTTGTCTTGCATTCTTGTTTCCTGAGTAAAACCCTTTACTGACTTTTTAGGACTGGATCCTATTTGCAGACTCCCATAATATCCTTACTTACTGCAGTAAGTTACAAACAGAATCCTCAGATACTACTAGCTGCTGCCAATCAATTTTTACAAAATAATGACAGTCTGCTGTCAATTCACAGGAGCTAGCAATAGTTTCTTCAAAGGACGAAGCCGTTTGTTAGACTTCACTACGTAAGTATTGGATTTCTGGCACTGATAGTGCAGACTAAAGATCTCCAGCTAAAATTAGGTTCTAAGGAGTCTCACAGTTTTACAGGAACAGCAAGGCTCATTGATTCTCTTGGGAACGTGGGAGAGTGGCAATGTATATGATACTCCACCAACAACAAATCACCAAGCACAGCACACATACGTGCATGGAACCCCTGGTACATATCTCACTGAAAGTGGTTAAATGGAATACATCTTGACCCAAGAGTAGCAAGAGGGTAAAGAATGGGTAGCCAGAGCTCCTGTGGAAGGCTGGGAAGCAAAGAGCCTGCAGCGAGGACTGAGAACTTGGGCCTGGGAAGTGCAGTCAGCTCCGGCCACTGGGGAGGAGTCGGGAGAAAAGGTGGCAGAGGACTCTGCCTACCGAACAGGATGAGTTACCCGTCCCAGTTCTCAAACTCACGACACAAGCATCCTAAACATCTCTGTTTTCCTTCTTTCTGGGTAGTTCTAGGGAGAGATAGATATTTATAATCTATTGATTTATTTCTGAATGACTGGTCTCCAAACATTTTGACCACATATCCTGATCAATAAAATACTGCTGAACACACATCTCTAATTTACTTACAAATAATAAGCATTTACTACTATACTGACATGTTGTACACCTTATAATATATGCTAATGTATAACGTATAATATATACTAAAACTTTAAGGAGATAATTAAAAATTATTAAGAATATAAGTTCTGGAGTCTTCTCTCCCACCCTAACACCATCTAGGACATCTCCTAGGTATCTGGACAGCATGACCCTGCTCACATTGGAAGTGCATATTGGCTATCGGAATTGGTTATTTTTTTCTCGACATGCAAAGATGTTCAAACTGTCAATACATTCAAAATTCAAAGAGTTATTATCACACAATCAGGGGTACCTGCTGGTCTGTTTACTCCAGTAGATGCTACCCTGGTTACCATAACAACAGAGTCATTAATCACAGGATCAATAAATCCAGCAGAGGGGACAGAAACACCTCTCTTCTTTCTCTGCTTTTCAAGGTCTCTGTGTGACATTTTATTAACTGTAATTCATAGTATGTCCTTCCAATAATACCAGTAAGTGATCTCAGACAGCAATTCGCACTACACTTATTCTTAATTTTTTATATAAAGTCACATACAGAAGATCTATCTCCAAGTGGCCTGTCAGTCATCAGAAGTGGTTCACATCACTTTCTGCTGCTTCAAATCCATTTTCTTATCATTCTGAAGAAGGGCAGAAGTCCCCCTGGACCCTGTGCAGCTGGCCCCGGTAGACAACCCAGGGCAACCAGGTGGCTGGTGAGGCGTTGGCCAGCTGCTCTGGTCGGCACAGGTTGCACGAAAGCAATAAACCCCTTCTAATTTCTGCAGGGACGACAGGCTATCTGGCTTCTCCCAGCAGCACCTGACTCAGCCCTGGCCCAGGCAAGCCCTCCCCCTCAGGGAGGAGCCCTCCAGGCCCTCAGTTCTACACAGGGAAGCCAAGGCCGTGCTTCCAGAGATCCTGGTGCACAAGGCCCTGAGCAACGGGCTGGCTCTCCTGTGCAGCTCACTACGTCTGCAAGACCACTCAAATCCGGGCTGGACGGGACACACCTCACTTACTGACCATCACCAAAGCCCTCACAGAGCTAGAAAGGGCATGAGTTTGGGTATGGCCAGTTCATGCGCAGTTGCTCCTCCGTCTTCATGGTAAGCTTAAACCTTGGCTGAACAGGAGTCGGCCAAGAAAAATTTTAATGCTGCTTATGCAAACTATCAAGATTGCCAAGTCTTTAGGGTTCTAAAATCTCCAACTCCTGATAAAACTTCATTTCTAATATGCCCAGGGAGCTGAGTTACTGGCTGGCTTTGACCTGTCTTTGATGGAAGTGATCCACTATGGTGGCAAGTAAGTCACAATCATATTCTAATTCTCGGACCCTTATTCTTCAAACTGCTGGCTTATTACCACTCACACATGAATGCCAGAGATCCACTGTAAGTCTGCTACAGCTATGGCTAGAGACAGTAGTTTCAAGAGACGACAAGCTACAGGAAGGGACTGCATTTACTGCGTGTACTGTCGTGTCCCTGGGGCTAGCACAGTTCCTGCACAAAAAAAAAAACCAGTATCTTCAATGTCCAGAATCTCAGCACTTCTCCAGGGGTGAACTGCATGTGTGCGGAAGGTCCCTTTGCAATATCCCTGTATCTCCAGTGCTCCCAAGTGCCATATGATGGGTGTTTTTGTTAACTTGAGCTCATTTGAGAAGTGCAGATGCTCGGGAAAGATGCAGATGTTTGGGAAAGTAAGAAACGCAGGTGAATGAAATGAATTTGACATTGCACAGCAGAATGGGAGAACTATCATATATTATTAGTGTATGTATGCATCTGTGAAAATTGTGCATGAAAAATCTATAAACAGTGCTTTTAAGTTGCTATGTATACTTTGCATAGTCTGATTTAACTTTACTCTTAGGTGCATTCTTTCTTTCATAAAAATTCTGAAATGATTCATTTTACCAGCAATTCAAGTCTTGATTCAATATGCCCTTCCCCGTTTTTATATTTTATTTTTAATGGACAAGTAATAATTATACAAGAGGTCTTCAGAAAGTTCATAGAAAACATGTATAATGAAAAAACTATGCATGGAGCTGGCGCCGTGGCTCAATAGGCTAATCCTCCGCCTTGCGGCGCCAGCACACTAGGTTCTAGTCCCGGTTGGGGCGCTGGATTCTGTCCCGGTTGCCCCTCTTCCAGGCCAGCTCTCTGCTATGGCCTGGGAGTGCAGTGGAGGATGGCCCAAGTGCTTGGGCCCTGCACCCCATGGGAGACCAGGAAAAGCACCTGGCTCCTGCCATTGGATCAGCGTGGTGCGCCGGCCGCGGTGGCCATTGGAGGGTGAACCAACGGCAAAGGGAGACCTTTCTCTCTCTGTCTCTCTCTCTCACTGTCCACTCTGCCTGTCAAAAAAAAAAAAAAAAAACAAAAAAACTATGCATGGACATAAAAGTTTTTGCACCAAAATAAACTTATGTTTTAATGCCATTTTCCTGTATGCATTTGGAACTCCCTGCGTATCCAGGTAAATTATTATTATTAATCAGCGTCACCACATGTGCAATAGATCACTACAACTTCTTCCGGCCATCTAACTGGAACTTTACCAATGCCTCCCCTCCCAGGCTCTCCCTCGCCACTCTACTATTTCCTATGAGCTGCGCTGTTTTAGCTGCACTCTTTGCACCTACATATCAAACAGAACATCCACCTTTAAACAAAACCCTCTCCTGGAAAAGCCAGAAATTGTCTTTCACAGAAGCAGGTCAAGAAAAGATGGAGTGTCTCTAGGGTCCAGCAGCCCCCCAAGGTCTGTTCTCTTCCCTTGGGAGTGTCCCCTCCACCTTAACCTAGCCCTAACTTATCTCCAAATATAATGGAACCTATTTTTGTTATATTTTTAGTAAAACGTCCTCACTCGACAACCAATACTAAAATGGAAGAGCCCGTGGAACGCCAGGTGAACATCATCCTCCCATGAATAGCTTGGTCGCAGTAAATGTGCCAGAAGAATGTCCTTCTTACCTTCTGTGGAGTGGGCCATGGGAAGCACCGTGACTGACACGTTGTCGGAGGCTCTCTGACCGGCAGTGTCGGTCACAGTCAGCTGGAAGGTGTATGTTCCTTCCTGAAGGTGGGCCAGCTTCAGGGTTCCTGACTGAGGCACCTGACACACAAGAGGACACATGTTAAGTGAGGACATCCGAGCACAGCGCCCCTCATGCTCCAGAACTGGAAATCAGTCCCTCCTTGGGGCAGTGTCACAAACAAGCAGTGTCTCCACTTTGGGTCCAAGGCTGCTGAGGGCTGCTACATCACAACCTACTTTGGCAGGTTGGCCCCAGTTTATCTGAGCTGCCAATAACCTTGACTGACAGCCCCTTCACTTGTCCTTAGTAGCTGCTGGCCCCAGTCCGTACCTCCCTCTCCAAGCCCCACACTCACCTTCGAGCCCCTTCCTTCTCAGCTGCTGGCTTCGTCTACTTTCAGGAGAAAATCAGAACCACAGTGATGGCTCCCTCCTCCCTCACTCCGCACCCCCAGGAACGTTCCTGCACCCAGTGTCACCTCCCGTCCAACAGCAGTAGGGACCATCTTCCCCTCTGTGCTCCAGGCCAATCCCCCTTTCTAGGCCTTTACTTTCCTTCTGTGACTTAGAACCCCGACCCATCGATTAATTTGTGTTTCAGATGGTTTTGCTATTATTGCCATGCTCAAATTTCTTAAAAATAAACAAGACAACAAGTGACATCGCAAGCCCCCAGTTCTCTCTAGCCCCAGCCCTCTTCCCTCCCTTCTCAGCCGAGGTCCTCAGAGGGCTGCCTTGGCGGCTTCCGCGGACTCATTTCCCAGTGAGACTGCAGCAGACCCACACCCACCATTCCTCTGAAACTGTGCTGGCCAAACTCACTCCTGGACCCAGCAAGAGTCACCTGATGGTCAGGGCCAACAAGACCTGTCCTGGAAAGCTTGTTTTTGAACTGGCCCTCTCATTATGCCTAACAATGTTGGTCACCTCTGTCTCTGAATCCGCCTGCTTTTGCAGGTTCCATATCTATAGCTCTGTTCCCCTCCCCCACCCCCAGCCACTCCTTGCCTTTGCCTCCATGGTTCTCGCTGCTGCTCATTCCCTGACTCAGGGCCCCATCCTCATCCCCTGCTGTCCTCACACCATTCCAAGGCAGCACACCTGGCCCAAGGCCCAGCTCTGTGCAGTGACCTTGGAAGTCATTCTTGCACATTCAGCCTAAAGACTGCTTCTTGGACCTTGGTGGGTGAGACCCCAAAGGAAAGAAGTGGCCATCAAAGAAGGAGGTACTTTTCTCTGAAGGGAGGAGACAACTTCCACTCTACTTATGGCCCTATCTAAATACTGACAGAGTATGTGGATTCAAAAGGGTTCCATAGCCTAGGCAGCTCATGCCTTGGGTGATCACTGACATCATACATAAGAATGTTAATTGTTAACAACAGGAGTCACTGTGCACTAACTTCCCATGCAGGACCTCTGTCCTCAAAGAGTTGTATTACGAGAGTTAACAGTAAAACTTCTCCTCAAAGATTTATTGTTTTAGTGTATGAAGTGCAGGATATTCTTATGTCTCATACGTTTTAGTTATGCTTAAATGTCCAACTCTATTGCTTGTTTTCTTAGGTGCTTCCTTAATGGTAAACTCATTCTCAAGGACTTACTTTCTTTTAATATATTAAGTGGAGGATATTCTCATGTCTCATAAGTTATAGTTACATCTAAGTGCTCACAAAAGATGTATCATTCTTGGGTGCTTCTTTAAAGTTCATTAAGTTTCTAAAAAATAAATAAGTGAAATTAACTTCGAGATGCAATAACTGAACAGCTCTTGTCTCAACTATTGAGGAACAGTTTTTTGCTTTTTTCATTTGTGCAAATTGTTGAACTCTTAGTATAGAGCTGGTCTTCTGTGTATAAAGTTAATTGAAAATGGATCTTAGTGGAGAATGGGACTGGGAATGGGAGGGAGGAGGAGGGGTGGGAGTGGGGGTGGGAGGGCAGGTATTGTGGGAAGAATCACCATATACCTAAAGTTGTACTTTTGAAATGTATGGAGTTTGTATTTCTTAAATAAAAGGTTTCTTTGGGGGGGGCGGGGAAAGACTGCTTCTTCAGCTCTCCTTAATACCCTATTCAAAAAAAAAATCCCTTTCTGCTTAGATGAACTAGCCTGGATATTGTCCTCTGCAAATGAACACCGGCCATCACACATTCTGTTCCACAGACACCTCCATGGACTTCTGAAATCGCAGAAAATTGCCCAATTGTAACCATCAAACGCTTTCATCTGTGAAGCCCTGGAATTTGGATTCCTGCACCTACACACGAGAAGAATGCTTTACACATTTAGAGACAATGCAGTGAGACACAGTGGTGGCTGTACTTGAGTCGGGGCCTGGGGAGTGGCACTGGGATCCTGCACTCCATACGCTCGCCCAGGTGGTTTGCAGAGTCTGTCACCCAACAGCTGGGTTTGAACGCCACGCCAGGCTGGCATGTGGCTGTGCATTAACCTCCTGGGTTTCTTTACCTGTGAAGTAGAGTAATAGCACCCATCTCTTCAACACTTTTTAAACTTATTTGAAGGAAGGACAAGAAAAAGAGATCCCATCTGTTGATTCACCCCCCCCCCCACCCCCCCACATGTCCAGAATGGACTGGGATGGGGCAGGGAAGCAAAGCTGAGAGCTGGGAACTCAATCTCTGGGGCCATGCATGCTGCTCCCCCCCCCCCCCGCCCCGCCCCGTCTGAGTTGGCCGGAAGCTGGAGACAGGAACGGGGACTGGGGAGCAAGCCCAGGTACACTGATGTGGGGTGTAGGCATCCCAATCAGCACTTTAACTGCCGTGCTGAATGCCCACCCTGCACCAGACTTGTCAGAATCAGTGAGATGATTTGTGAGAAGCTCGGTAGAGTGGCTTTCTCTCAGGGCCAGCGACAGAACTGAGACTTCCCACTGTCAAATGTCTAGGCCGGTCAACAAGCTGTCCACCACTTTCCTTAGAAGCGCTTTGAGCTGGAGAGCTGGCAGAGAAGGCCTGCCCTTTGCTGTTTGTTTCAAAGAGACGTGAAGCAGTGCTCACTGCCACGCTGTCACCTGACCTTCAGGCCTCCAATGACACTGGGAGGATCTCAAACAGCGGTCACTTACTGAGCACTAAAATGCAAAGAGGGCAGCAGAGAGAAAGAGAGCACGCTGAGGATAGTAGCTTCAAAGAAGCCTGGGGTGAGCAGCTGATCCCAGGAACAAGACCACACTGCTGTGATGGTGGCAGTCAGTCTAAGAACCATCAGAGAAAGAAAGGGGGGGGGGGCGGCGCCGTGGCTCACTTGGTTAATCCTCCACCTGCAGCACCAGCATCCCATATGGGCACCAGGTTCTAGTCCCCATAGCTCCTCTTCCAGTCCAGCTCTCTGCTGTGGCCCGGGAGGGCAGTGGAGGGTGGCCCAAGTGCTTGGGCCCCTGCACCTGCATGGGAGACCAGCAAGAGGCACCTGGCTCTTGGCTTCAGATCGGCGTAGCTCCGGCCGTAGCAGCCATTTGGGGAGTGAACCAACGGAAGGAAGACCTTTCTCTCTGTCTCTGTCTCTCTCTCTCTGTCTATAACTCTTCCTGTCAAATAAATTTAAAAAAATGAAAAAAAAAAAAAGATAAAGAACCATCAGAGAAGACCAGAGCTCCAGAGGAACATGCCCGAAATCAGGATGTCAGCATCTATATGGTCCCCTCCCTGCTTCTTTCCTAGCTCATGTGCAGTCCATCAGGAAATTTTGTGGCTAACCTTAAAAACACACCCGGACTTTGCCCGCTGGTCCCCACACTCATGCTGCCATTCTGGCCTGAGCCCACCCAGCCTCTTCTTGCCTGGGTCACCGCAGTGGCCGGGCAATGAGTGAAATTAGGGCTTGGTGTCCCCTTTCTTCTGCAAACTTTCTCCTCCCACCCCCATCTACAGGGAGGGGAGAGTCACCCATGGGCTCTCCCTGTGGCCAAAGGGGCACCCGCACCAGGCAGAACAAGGTGAACAGATGACAGGTAGAGCACAGGCTGCCTAAGCAGAGGAGGCCTTGGACAATGGCAGGCTCCCATCCCCCTGACTCTGGCTCAGAACCAGGCGGGAACTTCACTCTCTCAGGACTCAAGAACTCAGGGAACATGAACAAACTGGAATGTGTCAGTGCGAGGCCCAGCGGCCTTCAGTGGGGTGCTGCGGGAGAGACTCTCTGTCCCCACTGGCCTGCTTGAACACAGACAAGGAGCCCGGAGACCACAGACAGCCTGAGGCTCCAGGGTTCACGCACACAGGCAGGTAAGCGGAGAGGGGAGGTGGGAGGACTGACTCACGCAGGGGATTTGTAAGATGTGAGTGGCAGAGGGATGCTGAGTCATGGCTGGGCTCTCAGGGTGGCCATCGGAATGAGGTGGAGATGCAGTCAACAGAGATTCAAAAAGAGACCACAAAGGCACTGCCATCACCCAGGGCTTAGGCTGATGCTCCCTGGGAAGGGTGTCAGGGCTGGTGTGCACCAGAAAGCCCCTCCCCATGCTGGGGCTGGAAGGACAGAGCCTTCGGATTGGCCCGGTGCGCTGGCTGCAGCGCCCCAGCCACGGCAGCCATTGGAGGGTGAACCAACGGTAAAGGAAGACCTTTTTCTCTCTCTCTCACTGTCCACTCTGCCTGTGATGCCAGCATCCCATATGGGCACTGGTTCATGGCCCAGTACTCTACTTCTGATCCAGCTCCCTGCTAATGCGCCTGGGAAAAGCAGTGGAAGATGGCTGAGGTTTTTGAGCCCTGCACCCACATGCAACAGCAGAAGTTCCTGGCTCCTGGCTTCAGCTTGGCCCTTCCCCAGCTGTCGTGGCCATCTAGGGAGTGAACCAGCAGATGGAAGATCTCTCTTTCTCCCTCTCTCTCAATGTATGTAACTCTGACTTTGAAATAAATAAATAAATCTTAAAAAAAAAAATCCAGGGTTTTCTATCTCTGCTGGGAACTCCACCTCGGCAGCAGCATGGCCTTTGTTGGTTGGCCTCGCACCAGGTCAGTGTGTGACTCAACCTGAGTTTCTAACTCAGTTCCATCCTAGCTAAGGATTCAGTGGCTAGGAATACATGTTTGGGCTTCAACACACACACAGTTATATACACAATACTTTTATTACTGTACAATTTAGTTACCAAATAACTGTTTTTATTTTTTAAGACTTATTTATTTGGAAGGTAAGGGTAGACATTCTCTCTCTCTCTCTCTCTCTCTCTCTCTCTCTCACACACACACACACACACACACAATTTCTTCCCTTGGTTCACTCCCCAAATGGTTGCAACAGCCAGGTGTGGGCCAGGCCGAAGCCAGGAGCCAAGAGCTCCATCTTGGTCTCCTACATGGGTTGGGGGTACAAGTAGCTGGACACCTGCTGCTGCCTTCCCACGTGCATCTGCAGGAAGCTAGATCAGAAGAAGAGCAGCTGGGACTTGAATCCAGCATTCCAACATGGGATGCTGGCTGGCAGTGGCTTAATTTGCTATGCAACAATGCAGGCCCCACTTACCTATTTTTAGAAACTATGTATTGGATAATCCAATGAGCGACTGGTTTTGATTTAATAATGAAGTTATTGGTGTAAGAAACATCCATCTTTAGCAGACTTCCATTACATACGATATTCTAGAATTATTAATGTAGAGTGAAGGTTTGTGTGGCCCCAAATTCACATGCTGGGACTTAATCTCGGTGTGATGGTGTTTGGAGGCAGGGCTCAGGGAGGTGAATAGCTCATGCTGCTATCAAAAATGGGACTTGCGCCCTTATAAAAGAAGCAACAGAGAGCTCCTTTGCCCCTGCTATCATGTGAGGATGTGGCAAAAAGACATCTCTCAAGGTGCTATATAACACCTTGATTTTGGACTTCCTAGAATGCAGAGCTGTCAGAAATATGCTTCTGTTGGCTGGTGCTGTGGCTCACTTGGCTAATCCTCTGCCTGCGGCACTGGCACCCTGGGTTCTAGTCCCGGTTGGGGCGCCAGATTCTGTCCCGGTTGCTCCTCTTCCAGTCCAGCTCTCTGCTGTGGCCTGGGAAGGCAGTGGAGGATGGCCCAAGTGCTTGGGCCCTGCACCTGCATGGGAGACCAGGAGGAAGCATCTGGCTCCTGGCTTTGGATTGGTGCAGCGCGCCAGCTGTGATAGCCATTTTGGGGGTGAACCAACGGAAGGAAGACCTTTCTCTCTGTCTCTGTCACTGTCTAACTCTGCCTGTCAAAAAAAAAAAAAGAAATATATTTCTATTTATAAGCTACTCAGTTATGGTATTTTGCTGCAGCAGCCTGAATGGACTAAGTCAATGGTTCAGTTACAAAATTCTCAACATCAGATGACTGTAAATCAATCTGCTGGTCTGTGAATTCCAAATCTCTCTGTATAACATTAGGAAGTGATGGCAGATAGACTCTAAAATTTTCAAGCCACCACCTAAGAGTGACAAAGCCTGCAGAAGGGGAAACATCTGCCACCAAAGTGCTCAATCTATGGTGCTAGGATTGTGATGACATCATAGTAGGATGTGGGTTTACTTTGGCGGTGTTAATGAATGTATGCTGTTATATGAGAGTCACAGTTTGGTGGCAGATGGCTCTCCCACTGTAGGCTTTGTCATTTACATGATGGCTTTGTAAGCTCAGGGTCTATGTGCCATCATCTGGCTAAGGAAGTGGTCTAGAGTTTGCTCTTGATGGCACAGCAGTCAGTCCAAAAAGCCTACGAGAATTACCAAGTTTTGTCAGTCCTTTATAAGTGTCTTTAATAAGTTAAATACTGAATCATTGTCATTATTTTTATTCATCAGTCATAAATGTAATTCATTGCCAATAAAGTTTTTAGTAGCTAGTGTGAAAAGCTAAGTGATGACAGAAGCAAATTTGAACAGTTAAGTGCCCAAAGTGCCAGTTAACAGCGTCCACCCCAGGTTCTCCAGGGGGATGATCCACTAGTGACTCGGCCTAACACCTTTCCTGAACAACCTTAATTCTCAAAGTTCCAAGTCGTCAATTTTGTAGCTGACACAAAGGATAATAAATATGACAGGTGACACTCAAAGTTCAAGATGTTGTAGATGAAAACCAGAAAGCTGAGATTTAAGAAGGTTAGAGAAGAGTTCCTGCCCCCAGGTTCAACAGTCAACTACACAAACACAGGACAGGGGGAGCTGCTATGACAGCACTTCCTGTGAAACATGACGCAGGTAGGGGTGATCTTGCTAATGGAATACTCCACATAACCCTTTGTGTGATGCAACATAGTTCATGGGAATTATGCCTCATAAACAAGCCAAGACGAGGTCTGGATCTCCAGTGGTAACAGCTGCCTGAGAAACAGCCAAGGTTTCACGTGGGGTTCCTTCAGGGTTTGGGGATTTTAAGGAGGGTGTAGATTAATCTGAGAAAAGCCAGGGGCTGGATGGCAGATGGCCTGAAAATCAATCCATGTGAGGAACAGCTGAAAGAACTGGGGGTGTTGAGTTCTGAGAGGATCAGACCAAGTGGTGATGTTTATTCCGTACAAAGACTTGGAGGACTTTTATATGGAACAAAAAGAAGATATGTTCTGCGTTTTTCCAAAGGGAAGACCTGGCACCAATGCATACGAATGAAGAGAGGCACATCCCCTTTCCCTAATACTTGGGGCTGACTGACAATGTCATAGGACATATGTGAGACAGTGAACTTTTGTCCTGGATGGCCTTTGGAAGGGACGCCCGCATGAGGCTGGGTAAGATGCTTATCAAGGGTCCAGTCCAGTTCCAGGGCTACACAGTCACGGAAGAAACCCAGTGGACTTAGTGTTGAGGGACCAGCTGATTACTGCTCTTGTTTTAGTTCCAATGAAGTCCACGTCAGTGCTTTCCCACCTCTTTCTCTTCCTCCACCTGCTCTAACTGAAGCAGTCTGGACGATGTTTATCTGCCAAACCGTGAAAATGCTCCTAACTCGACAGCCATCTGACAGGATTAATACAAGACACCATTCGTCTCCCTACTTAAGATGCCCGGGCATGTACAGGCAGCCACTGGACAAGCGGCTCACTTCCATCTGCAGCAAGGGGCTGACGAGGAGGGAGAGTAGGGGCACTGGGTGGGAACACCTGCCACCCACCCCCTCGCTCCTTAACTGAATGGGCTCGGGCTAGTAAGATGTTCGTGTTCTGGACCAGGGGAAGAATAAACTCATTCTACTGTTATTTTCCTCTTTATATCCCTTTGTAGGTTTTCAGTTTTCTACTTGGGTCTTGAACTAAGAAATAAACCCTTTAGAAAGTGGGTCATTGAAGCAAAGCATGACTTTTCCTTGAAGTTGCTTTGTATTCTGGAGAAGTAAAAAAAAAAAAAAAAGGCAGCAAGAACAAAGGCAAACTCTGTACTCTGTATTCTACTCTGTAGAAAAGTAAATTTGTAGAACGATCCATTCTTGGACAATCAAATCTTTATGCTTTCTCCATTTTAAACTTCTGCCAGCTGACAGAGACTTGGGGGACGTGGGTGGAGAAGACCACTTCCCTGAAGTATCACTTTCTACCACCAATGACAATATGGATTACCTTCATGTCCACTGCCGGGTCCCCTTGCAGCAGTGTCCACTCATACTGGACAATGGCGTGGTCATCTGTGCTCTCACGGCCATCCAAAGTTACCTCGTCTGTGGGTAGATGCAAGACCACATTCTGTCCAGCTTTGCTTTGTGGAGGCTCGTCCTTTTCTACGGGAGAAAATGTATAATTCATGAGAGATGATTCCCTAGTCTTCTGTAATTTTTGAAGCAAAGGATCTTGCTTGCTGAACAGATATGGGCCAGCAAAGAGCTGCAAAGAGGATGTATATTAACTGGAAATTAATTTCCTATGGATATTCATTGTGTTCTCTTACATAACAGTGAAACAGTAATATATCAGGGATAGATAATTTAGCTATAATACATGCAGAAGAGGAAGCGTGGAGGGTCTTCTGTTTGCAGTACTGCAAGTTGTGGGTATAGGACACTGTACTAGAAGCCGCCACACATATGGAGTTCTAGGCTCCTGGTTTTGGCCTGATCCAGCCTCAGTTGTTGCGACCATTTAGGGAGTAAACCAAGTTTCTCTGTCACTCTTTTACATAATAAATACATATTTATATGTACTTATTAAATATACATTACATATTAATATAATATTATATAATTATATATTATATAATTACTGCAAATGACATGTTAAATTTATTTATATAAATAAATTTATATAAATAAATAATGTTAAATTTAATATATATTTAAGATTTAGTTATTTATTTGAAAAGCAGAGTGACAGAAAGAGAGAGAGAAAGAGAGAGATCTGGTTCACTTCCCAATACCGACAATAGCTGGGGCTGGGCCAGGCTGAAGCTAGGAGTCCGAAACACTATCTGGGTCTCTGAGTGGGTAGCAGGAACCCAAGTATCTGGACTTTCATGCTCTGCCTTCCAGGTGCATTAACAGGAAGCTGGATCAGAAGAATGGAGTAGTTGGGACTCAAACCACCCACTCCAATACAGGATGTGAATATTCCAAACTGCAGCTTAACCCACTGTGCCATAACGCCTGCCCCTCTATTAGATAATTTTTTTAGTTCTTGAAAATAAACTAATTAAAACCAAATTCATCTGTAATATAGATTTTCCTTTTTTCTTATCCTCAACTTTTAAAAATAAAAGTGATTATAAAAAGTTCAATGGACAGGACACAGATTAAACTTGGAAAGTTAAGGCAAACTTGGATCCATACAAAATAAAGCCCACACAGAAATTCTTTGGAATCAAATTTTTCATTGGAGGTTTAGAGCTTTCAAAAGCTAATTATGGGGACTGGTGCTGTGGCATAGTGGGTAAAGCCGCGGCCTGCAATGCCGGCATGCCGTATGGATGTTTGTGTCCTGGTTGATCCACTTCCAATCCAGTTTCCAGCTAATGTACCTGAGAAAGCAGCAGAAGATGGTCCAAGTACCTGGGCCCCTGCCACCTATGTGGGAGACCCAGAAGAAGCTCCTGGCTCCTGGATTCAGACTGGCTGTTGCGGCCATACCAGGAGTGAATCAGTGGATGGAAGATCGATCTCTCTATATATCTCCCTCTCTATATATAACTCTGTCTTAAAAAAAATTAAAAAAAACTAGTTATGATAACAAAAGCTTTCTGTGAATAAAGGTGTAAGTAATTTATAATTGTAGGGAATGAACACAATTGCTTATTAAGTGCTGTTGCCAAGGGGGTACATGTTTTTATGAGACAAATCCCATTTTCACAGTCATTTAAAAAGGAGTGAAACCCTTTTACATAAACCAAGAAAAAAAATAATCCTGCCTAAGCAGCAACTTGTTCTGCCTGTTTCCACCTCTACAGATCCAGCAGCGGATGTCTTTGTTCTGCTTCTCCCAGGTAAGGGGAGACGAGGCATCTGCGTTACCCACAGGCCTTTTATGGAGTGTCCACATTTCCTTTGGTTCTGAAAGGTTCATGGTCTCCACACAATAGTTGACCACTTTATAATTCTGGAAACTGTCCTAAAATTCTGCAGGTATGCATAATAGTTAGCAGCTATTTGCATTAAGTATTGCTTTAAAATGTTATTTTTAAGGGGATGAAAATATGCCTATATGATATAAAGAAATGAACATTTAGATATATTTTCACTCTCAAAGATTTAAGATGGAAGAATCAGGTAAATGCTGCCATAACCCATATGACATAAAACAAACTCTGTCTCTCCTAAAAGGAAAAAAAAATCATTTTCGTCACTTACTTTTGTTTAGGTGAGTTTTAAGATATGATTGATGGACCCAGGGAAATCCTCATCTCCTCTAAATTGACAGACTGAAATAACAGAGCTAACAGAGCTAATGTTTGCTCTTCAGTTCAAATGTGGGCAAATTACATTGTAAAATGTCTTGTGAAATAAGCCAGAGCTTACCTCCCCAGAAACAGAGCTTAACATAAACAATTGACAACAGGAAGAGGGAAGGAGTGTGCTACCAGTGAAAAAAATGTTTGCCTTGCTAAAGAAGAACAAGATAGACGTAAATTCTGGTTTTCATCATAAAAATGTAACAGGCCCACATGAAATAGTATGGAAATGTTGATTTCTTCTGAAAACTAACCACACCTGGTAAGACCTACAGAGGTGACGTGAGACGCACACCAACTCAGATGGCACATAGGAAGGCGGCAGGTCATACAGAGAGGAAGAGCAGTGTTAGTGACCTTCCTGCACTGCACGTTGCTGTGAACACAGCCTTCGTGGCAAGGAGGATGTTCTGGCATCATGTGTGCTGCAGACATGACGTGGGGTACGGAAGTGCGGCCACACAGAAGGGGGAGGCACACTCACATATGTGCAAGCAGCCATCGTGTGTGTGTGTGTGTGTGTGTGTGTATGTGGTGTTATTACAACACATGTTATTAAAAACAAAGTATTGGCCGGCGCCGCAGCTCACTAGGCTAATCCTCTACCTGCGGTGCCGGCACCCCAGGTTCTAGTCCCGGTCGGGGTGCCGGATTCTGTCCCGGTTGCCCCTCTTCTAGGCCAGCTCTCTGCTGTGGCCCGGGAGGGGAGTGGAGGATGGCCCAGGTGCTTGGGCCCTGCACCCCATGGGAGACCAGGAGAAGCACCTGGCTCCTGGCTTCGGATGGGCGCTGCACGCCGGCCGTAGTGGCCATTTGGGGGGTGAACCAACGGAAGGAAGATCTTTCTCTCTGTCTCTCTCTCTCAGTGTCTAACTCTGCCTGTCAAAAACAAACAAACAAACAAACAAACAAACCAAAGTATCCACAACTCCAATGTGATGATGATTTTATGTATGTACTGTTCTGGCCTATCTCTGCATGACGCTAATGACAAGGCTAACAGGGGCCAGTTTTGGGTGACTGCTTGTCCAGGCACCGTGACAAGTGCTCCACAGGCATCGCTTCATTTCACAAATCCCTAAGGCAGCCATTTTCATCTGTGTAATACTGCCGAGGAAACTCTGTGCAGAGGACCCAGGTTAGTTGGCTAAGATCACACAAGTGATAAATGTCTCAGCCCAGATATTTCTCACTCATAGGCCCTGAGCTTTCGAGTACAGCTTGAGGCAACCTAGGTGTGTAATTCAAGTTACAAGAAAGTGAGTTTAATCCATTAACTTTTGATATATTATTTTATTTATTGATATTAATTCATATATCTAGCAGTGCCCACATGATTAAACTTCACATCTGTAACCTTAATTTCCTAACCCATACTACTGGATATTTGTTTGTTGCGTTTTTCCCACCATTATAAATAATGCCATAACAAATACTTTTCTGCTCATTTTTTAAAAGATGTATTTATTTATTTGAAAGTCAGAGTCACAAAGGGAGACGGAGAAACAGAGATCCTCCATCTGCTGGTTCACTCCCCAGATGGTTGCAACAGCCAGAGCTAGGCCAAGCTGAAGCCAAGAACCTCTTTCATGTCTCCCATGTGGGTGGCAGGAGTCCAAACACTTGGGCCATCTTTCACTGCCTTTCCTAGACCATTAGCAGGGAGCTGGATTGGAAGAACAGCAGCTTTGACACAAACTGGTGCCCATACGGAATGCCAGTGTTGCTTTACCTGCTATGCCACAATGCCGGCCCCATACTTACTCTTTAGCATGGTTTACTTTCCTTAAAAAATGTTCAGAAGAATGAATGACTACCACTCATGTTTTAATGTTCTCTGCTAGATATCTCTCACTTGATTTCCACGAGGTTGGTGCTTATTTACACCATAAGTGGTCATGTAAGAGTAGCCATTTGGCACCGTGGCTTAAGATGTCACTTGGGATGCCTGTACCCCTTATCAGGCTGCCTGCTTTAAGCCCTGACTGCTCCCTTTCCAATCCAGCTTCCTAGTAAAGTGCATCGGCTCAAGTGCTTCCGTCTCCGCTATCCACAGGGAGACCCAGTTGGAGGGAGTTCCCAGATCCCGGTTTCTGCCTGGTCCAGCCCTGGTTGTTTCAGGCATTTGGGAAGTAAACCAGGGGGTGGAAGATCTCTCTCTCTCTCTCTCTCTCTGCCTTTCAAATAAAGTTGAACTAAATCAATAATATAAAGATTTCCACAGGCATTCCAATTTGAGTAATTTTTTATTTTTGCCAATTTAATAAGCATTAGCTGGCATTATTTGCATTTCTTTTATTACTTCTAATACCGAGCATTTTTCCATGTTTATCAACTTCTGGGAACCGTTTTGCACATGTTCTTCACCCATTTAATTTTACTTTCTGACTCATAATCTCTTTCTATTAACATTAAATAATTGTATCTCATGTTTTCCCATACCCTTGCTTGCAATTCCTTTTCTTTAAGGTTTCTATAAACATGAATATCATCTATTCTTTTCCTTTATAATCTCTTTAATGGATATTCATATTAATAGTAGTAAGTTCATTTTCTTCAAATTTTCCTAGGTATGAAAATTTTAAAGACATATTTGGTTCTTTACATGGAATTTGCATGTGGTCAGCTTTGTAGTTCTAAAAATATTTTTCCAACACTGCCAAAGAATTACCTAAATAGCATTTATTAAATATATTTATAACACACAGAAGATGCAATGTGGGAAGTCAAGGTCCCTGGGGAAGACTGGTCAGGCACGTGAGGAGGGATGAGCCTCCAGCAGGAAGGTCAGCTCTTTACTCTGTACTTGGTGGAGACAAGGGAAAGGCCAGGGGGAGCAGGTGCAGCTGCAGAGGGAAGAACAGCACTCTGCCTGACAGCGCTGATATTCTCCATCAGCAAAGGGGCTGATTTCCACACTGTTCCCAGAGACACTGGATTCCAGGCCGACTCTCTGGTGGAGACAGAAAGGCGCTGGTCCTATGCTCTTAGCTCCTCTGGGATCTGAACATCTCCAGTTCCCACGTCACCACTGCTCTTCACTTAATCTTCACAACTGGACCCCAACCCTCCAGGAAGCCACGTGACCAAAGCAGGCTCCTATGACAAATCTATGTGTGCAGGTGCCACCTCTATAACTCACAAGCCAAGCCCACCTACAACAACCAAAGCTGGAAGGTGAGCAGGCATTCAGGTTCCCACAGGATCGGCAGGGAGGAGCCAGGTCTCCAACTCAGGGCTCAGAATTTTCAGTCATCTCAAGACACCTCTCCATCCCCCACTCTTTCCTGTACTCTCCTCCCATCCTCCACAGCTGGCCACCTGGTCAGTCCCAACAGAGTGGTCTCCTTCTCGGCTTCCAGTTCCAGAAGGCCTACCACTGCTGGACAGAGCACAAGGGCTGCTCCCTATCTCAGAGCACGACCCGCGTGCTGCTTGACCCCCACGCACGATACTCTTTGGCCAAACCTTCACTCACACTGGGAGCTCTAACAGGACCTAGGGCTCTGGGCTGCGGGGAGGGAGGACAGAGAAGTTATGTGTGTGCGAAGAGCTCAGGGCAGTGCCTAACCCCAAACTCCACAGTGTGGGGGTGCGGGTAGAGGGGCTGCTTTCCCCCATTTCAGATAGAACACCACAGTGTCTACCTCAAGACCCAGAAAGGCAAGAGTGACCCCGTGATATCTCTTTCCTTGTTAAGGATTCTAAGCCTTATCAGATGGGAGGTGGGGGAGGGGCTAAGTGGGATGGGGAGACATGTACAGACCCTTCTCAGTGGATCCAGATTTCCCAGTGGCTAAGGCTGCCGGCCACTGCCGCCCTGGACTCACTGTTACTACAAACCAAACAGCAACCGTGTAGGATAAAGCACTCGGGCCTGACCACAAGAGGCCCAGCCAAGGTCTCTTTCAGTCACCTTGATCTCCAACGCCTATAACTGCTGCTGTCAAAGCGTTAGTGGTGGAAATGCATGTTAGGAAAAAAACTACGAATGGACTTCGAAATTTTTTGTACCCAAAATACGTATCTTCTAATGCCATTTTCCACGAACTTTTTGAAGTCCCCCACATCACAGAAGGGAACACCCGTCGAGCACCCATCGTTTCCAGCTGTCTTCAAAATGAGCCATACCTGTAACTTTCCTATTGCTTTTTTTTTTTTTTCCAACTAAATTCAAATCCTTTCCTTTCGCTCTTCACAACAGGGAACAGTCTGCCTTCCCAGTTTTGTCTGTCGACAGCAACTCCGGGCGGAAGCGCGCGAGGGAACAGCCGTGGGCGTTAATGAGCCATGTGGTATCTAATAAGATTTCTGCTCCACACAAACCATGCCCTATAAAAACCCACGGGACTAAAATAAACTTTGCCTCTTCTCGCTCCGAGTTCTCCTCCGCCTTGACGCCGAATTTCCGCGAAGCCTCTCCTACCGCTTCTCTCTCTCCCAGCCTAGGAAAATTCCAGCTGCTCTGCCCACACCTCCCGGGTTTCCTCCGCAGCCACCCGCGGGGCCGGGAGATCAGAGCCGTTCCTCCGCACGCCCGCAGCTAGGGACCCCTGGGACAAGCGCGTTACTTTTTCTGAGTTGTGCTGCCCAGCCAGGCCTCCGGCAGGTTGCACGGCCGCAAGACCCCAGCGCCCTGGCCCCGAGCAGGCCGCGCGCTTACCTGGTCCGGGCGAGGCCCACGCAGCGTCCGGCGCCGCGACGCGGCTGAGGCTGTAGCTGCTGTAGCCGCGGTGCAGCGCGAACTTGCAGACGCTGCGGCCGCGCACCGTGCAGTTGAAGAGGTAGCAGCCGAGCGCGGCGGCAGGGGGCGCGGGCCGCCGCGGCAACTCCACCACCGCCACGGAGCAGCGCGGCTCGGAGCAGCAGGCGGCCACGCACTGCCGCCAGTCCCGCACGGTCGCCGGCGCGCTCAGGAAGCTGGCGCCCGCCGCGATGGAGTCCTTGGTGCGGATGATGGCGTCCGGCATGGCACTGTAGCCGCCGCCACCCGGGCCCGGGCAGCCCTCCCGGGGGCCGCCGCCGGCGCGCAGCTCCAGCTCCAGCTCCTCTTGCGGCCGCTCCTGCTGGAGCTGCCGGCGGAACTCTTCCAGCAGCTGCTCCACGCCCGAGAGCTGCGCGTGCAGATCCGACCGTGGCGCCCCGGGAGGCCCGGCCGCGCGGCCGCTCGCCAACCACAGGCAGAGAAGCAGCAGCCCGCGCAACGCCCGGTGCCGCGGCGGCAGCCGGCGCCGCGAGCCTGCGCCCTCCCGGGCGGCGAAGGCCATGGCGGCCGGCAGCTGAGGGAGGAGCCGAGGCGCGGCCGAGAGCGCGAGGGAGGCGCGGGAGCCGGCGAGCGCGGGCCGCCGAGCGCGCTAGGCCCCGGCCTCAGAGCGCGGCGCCCCCGGGGCCCGGCTGCGGCCCCGACGAGGCGGGCGCACGGGCGCCGGGAGCAGCGGGAGGCATAACGGGCCCGGCCTGCCTGGCGTCGCCCCTCCGGGAGGCTGGCGGGGGCCCCGACCGCGGAGACCGGCGCGGCGGCGAGGTGGCCTCGGCGCGGATCAGCACCGGGCTGGAGGACAGCGGCCGCGGCGGGGCGGAGCCGCCGACAGCCCCGCCCCGGCCCGCCCTC